GCCTGCCTCTGCCTCCCAAGTGCTGGGATTAAAGGTGTGCGCCATCACACTTGGCCTCGATAAGTGATTTTTTTAAATATTTTATTGATTCTTTGAGAATTCCATACGATGTATTTTGATCCTATTCAGATCTCTGCCTTGACTTCATATCCTCTATTACTTTTCTTTGTTAAAGGCCTATGGAGTCTAATTTATGTTCCCCCAAAATTCTTGAGCATGGGGCCGTGAGCTTGGTCAACCAATCCAACATCACACCCTTCAAGAAAATAAACTCTCCCTCTCCAGGCAGTTATCAGTTGCCACAAGTTCCTCAGCTAGGGCTGGGCTTCTTGTCCAACTCCCTCCTCCATGCTGGCCTTTGGTCCAGGTTGGGCTTGCCCAGTCACAACTGCTGTGGGTTCATATGTACAACTGCCCTTTGGGTGCAGACGTAACTGTCTCCTTGTATTCATGCACCACCTCTGGCTCTTACAGTCTTTCCATCCAGTGCCAATTCTCTCATTCTGCAGATTTCTGAAATACTTTTATAATTAGGATATTGCTTTGGTGGTTACCTTCAAGAAGTTCAACGTCCCCCAAGTTCAAAGTTAAGCTTCATTGCTGCAACAGTGCAAAGAATTGGGGTTCCTTGTCTTTCTGGCTGTTGATTATAATTTCTTTTGGTGGCCTGAGATCTGCAATCTTCAAATGTCAATACTCAGACGCCTCTGAAATGAATTTTGAAAAATCTATGTATCTCTGTGAACATTTCTAAATTAACATCTAAATATCTTTCAATATAAATAGTTGCAAAGTTGGCACGGTGTGAATGTTGCGTCTTTAAAGTGTTGCATTCCTTTTTTAATATGTCAGGAGGCTCTAAATATAAATTATTTGACAGACAGGGCCCTCCCTTCAAAAATGGCATAAACAAGGAAATTTTTAATAAGAAATGGCACATTTTCCCTTTTATCCCTGGAATTTGTATTTTTATACCATTTTTCTCCCTCAAAATTTTAGTCCAATTACTTCGGGCTTTTATGCCATTAAACTGTCTTTATACAAAATTACATATTATCTTTGCATAAAATTATGTATTACTCTATCATTAAGAGGCTTTAAGTCTTTAAGAAATGTCTCCTGGGTTGAGCTTGATCAAGAAACACACAAAGTAAAAAAACAACATGCTAATTATTAAACTTGGTCAAGTGTCATTGGTAACGATGGTAACAAAAGGGACGGATGACAGCAGCTTTCTCTCCAATGGTCTCACCTACCTGTAGACTGCTAGTTTGGGAAAAGTCAAAGCACAGCATCCATTCTGTTCTGCCTTTTAGATCTCATGTGCGGTGGGCCTGGCTCACGAGGGTCAGGAGACGGAACACAAGATGGGTCAGGATAGCAGTGTGGCTGGTGTTCTGGTTTGCGTCCCGCTGCTGTGATAAAACATGAACCAAAAGCAACCGGGGGAGGAAAGTGTTCATGTGGCTTACAGTGTCGTCTCTCAAAGGAAGCCAAGATGGGAACTAAAGCGGAGACCACGGAGGGACGAGGCTTGCCAGCTGGCCCAGTACCCTTTCTTATACAACCCAGACTCCCCTGCCTAGGGAGAGCACTGCATGGCTCACAATGGGCTGGGCCCTCCTACACCAATTAGCAATCAAGAAACTGCCCACAGACATAGCCACAGGCCAGTCCAAAGGAGACAGCTCCTCAGTTGAGGTTCTCTCTTCTCAAGTGTCTGGTTTGTGTTGAGTTAATTAAAACTAACCAGCACAGCTGGGTTCTTCCATGTCTTCCTGTGCTGGATAGCTTTAGTGTCAACCTGACACATCTCAGTACAGACAGCCTCAACTGGGGAACTGTCTTCATTGGAACGGCCTGTGGCCATGTCTGTGGAGTATTTTCTGGATTTTTGAGTGATAGGGGAGGGCCCAGCTTACTGCGGGTGGAGCCACCCCTGAGCAGGTGGGCCTGTGTTATATAAGAAAGTTAACTGAGCAGGGGCCAGGGGAGCAAACCAGTAAGCAACGTTCCTCCATGGCCTGTGCCCCAGCTCCTGCCTCCAGGTTCCTGCCCTGAGTTCCTACCTTGGGTTCCCTGATGAACTGTGACCCAGGAGATGTAAGTCAAATAAACCCTTTCCTCCCCAGGCTGATAACGGTCAGAGCATTTTGTCACAGCAATTGAAGGCAAACTAGAACATTTGTGTAGACACAAGTTAAAACATCCTTGTGAGTCATTTATGTAATTAAAAGACAGAACTCTATTGGATGTCCGTTTGTGAAGGCAAAGAGCTGGGAACCACCAGGTTTGGAAAAGGACTTGTTCCCCGTTTTCTACTGTTTTTGCCTTTCAAACATCTTTACTTGCAGCCCTGCACCCTGGGCTACAGCCTCCAGTAGACCAGAGTTGGAAAAATCTAGGCTATCTTTCCTAAAGCAAGAACATGGCATTAGGTCAGGCAGATAAATCTCAGAAAGGAATGAATTTGACAGGAAGGTGGAGATCTGCAAGTAGATACTTGAAAAGTTCTAGAATGTTCCAAAGCTGGCTTACCATGGCCTCAGTGGCTTAAAGGCCCCTAGCTATGATGGCTTAAGTTTGGATTGTAACTTGGTCACAAGGCACACAAATGACTAGATTTCGTTGTGTGGCTGCCTTGTTAAAAAGTGCGGAGGGGCTGGAGGGCTGGCTCAGTGGTTGGGAGTGCATGCTGCTTTAGCAGAGGACCTGAGTCTGGTTCCCAGCACCCACGCTGGGCAGCTCACAACCACCTGTAATTCCAGCCCCAGGGGATCCAACACCTTCTTCTGGATTCAGGGCACCTGTACGCACGTGCACATACTCCCACACAGACACACAAATGTGACAAATAAAAATAAACCTTTAAAAAATAAAGATGGGGCTGGATAGATGGCTCAGCAGTTAAGAACACTGACTGTTCTTGCAGAAGACCCGGGTTCAAATCCCAGCAAGCGCATGGCAGCTAACTGTCTGTAACTCCAGTTCCAGGGGATCCGACAGACTCTTCTGACCTCCACGGACACTGCACAACACAGGTGCACTTACCTACATGCAGGCAATATACACATACACATAAAATTAAAAAATAATAAAAATTTAAAAAATAAAGATAAATCCTGGGCATGGTGGCACATCTTTAATCCAAGCACTTGGGAGAGACAGGCAGGCAGATCTCTGTGAGTTCCAGGCCAGCGGGGGCAACAAGGAGACCCTGTCTCAAAATTAATAATAATAATAATGACATAGTAATTGATAATAATGAGCAAGCCCCCAAACACTCTCTACAGTAGACTAGACACACGAGTCATGATAGGCAGGATCCCGAGGCCACCTTTGGGAAAGGCTATCCTCTGCACCCCTTCAACTCTTGCCTCACAAATCATCTAACTTTGTCCAGTTGAAGTTTCCCAGACTCAGTGACCTTCCCACCACCCTTTTGTATTTTCCTGTCATAACCAATGTTCTAAAGAACACTTTGCAGATTGAGAGAAAATCCATGCGATGCACACTGAGATTCCTTCACCTGTGCTGCTGCTCTCCCAGTCCAAGTTACCTGTCTAGACAGTCTGACATCAGGGCCAACCCGAGGAAGAGCCAGGATTCACCTGCTCCTTCCCTAGGGTCCTGATATCACTAAGAGCCAGATGAACACATGACCCAATGAAGCACAGTGAGGAACCACAGCACATCCTCGAATGACGGTGGACCAGGAGGAGGACTTGGTTCTTCCCAGCCCACTGGTCTCACCTGCCTGCCTTTCCCCTGCTGGGCTTACTTCCTGTGGAATTCCCACCTCCGCAGTCAACAGTGTTTTCTGCAACCTGCCATCTCTCAATTTCTTTGCTACAGTAGCAAAACAAACAAAACACCATTTTAAGAGGACTCAAACCTTTGCAATTTGGCTTTAAAACAGCGAGGTGGAAGATGGGGCGGTGAACATAGGGGTGACAGCAGCCCCCAAGCTCTGCTGTGTAGAGGTGACACTATGGCACAGTGGGGCCAGGATGTTGCCACATGAAAGAATTGGGCTCTGGCCACTCCCTGGTCCCAGCCAGTGGGGAACTGCTAAGACCCTTTGGTCAGAGTGCTTAATTCATTTACAGTCTTCTCTCCAATGACACACACGTTAAGTCCGGCATTTTGGATATCCAGGGGATGGGAGAGCAGAATGGGTTTCTGACTCCCACCACACACCAGCCTCTGGTTCCTGCCATCTAGTTCACGTTTGTTTATCTGTACACTCGTTTCCCAGAGTTAGTTCTCCACTCACTGAGAAGCTGAGTCTACAGAAATTCTATCTTCTTTAATAAGCCTTATCGACTCCTGAGACTGTAGCTCACAGGTAATGGTGAATTAGGGACACCTGCCTCTCTGGAGTGGCTCCATCTGAAGTCTCCCATAACATCCTAACACTGGCACAATTAAAGCTTAGCTGCCTGCACCAGGAAGTGCAATAACCAGAGAAATTTCCCCATGAACCTCTATAAGCCAGCAACTGAGCTCCCGGCTGTGGCCCCAGGGCCTTTCCAGCAGCCTCCCACCCGACTCAGCCCTGGGTATGGTGAGCAGTGAGCAGGGCCAGAGGCTTGGGGGGGCACAAAAGAAAAGATGCAAAAAGATAGTACCCCCAAACCACTAGTCAAAAGCCTCTCCCCACCATTTGCACTGGCCTAAGGAGCAGTCTTCAATGCTCATTTATGCAGATTCTATGCAGGTCTGTCTAGCCAACCAGCATGCTGGTGGTAGTTAACACACCTTGAGCTGAACCCTGACAAGGACAGGGCTCCTCTTGGGGCCCCTGTGATGTCCAATGGCTTTAATTGTTGAATTATTTGTCTTTTAGTTAAAATCCTTTTCAGAATTGAATGAATTAGTTCCTTACATCATGGCTGGGCTTATAGTCCTTGGAAATCAATTACCTGGGTCACTGGCAGAATCTTGCCAGCCACAAGGGCACTCTTGTTTACACTATAGGTCAGGCAGAGAAAACTTAGTGGATTGACACGGGTGTCTTTATTCAATGAGGCTGAGCACATGACAAGCCAAACACGGGATCCTCTATAAGGAATATAAGTTAAAGTTGTCCGAGGGGGAAAAAAACACATCAGGAAGTCGTCCCTGCTCCTCCTGCCCACAGGGGCATCTTCAGAAATGTCATCTCCACAAGAGCTCCAAGAGAGGACCGCGGTGTCACCGATGAGTCTCTTGGGGGCCGACCACAGCACTCTCCCACACTAGGGGCACACACACTCACACATACACACACCACCTTTACAAACGCACTCTTCTAGGAGTAGAACTTGCTGTTGCTAACTCTCTTCTCTCTCAACCTGAAATAAAACAGAATGTGCTCCATGAACAGGGTGGGAGACAGCAGGTCCCTGCTGAGCTCTGTGATGTCACATGTGTGCAGGTTGGAGGTGGCTCTGGGCTCCTAGCAAGCCCCTGAGATACAGGATGATGAACTTCCTCCTTGGTAAAACGGGGTGATGGTTGCTCTGCAGAAGATCCACTAAGAACATATGGTGTTGAAATCATACAGTGCTCTTTGAGGGGGTAGCATACGTGTATTAGAGTCATGACTGGTCTGGGACCATGAGGCACGGCTGGCTGCCTCTCCCCTCCACCCGCCATGTGCTGGTCTGGGGCATGGGGCACCCTTGGCTGCCTCTCCCCTCCACCCGCCGTGTGCTGGTCTGGGGCATGGGGCACCCTTGGCTGCCTCTCCCCTCCCCCCGCCATGTGCTGGTCTGGGGCATGGGGCACCCTTGGCTGCCTCTCCCCTCCACCCGCCGTGCTGGTCTGGGGCATGGGGCACCCTTGGCTGCCTCTCCCCTCCACCCGCCATGTGCTGGTCTGGGGCATGGGGCACCCTTGGCTGCCTCTCGCTAGGCACCAATGTCAGTTCCTAGAGTCCAGAGGGCTGAAGGGAGGCGGGCCAGCCTACCTCCGGTTGCACTTCTCCTGATAAAGCTGGAGCTGATTCTCGTTAACGTTGAATTCCTTGACTAGGGCATCACGGTTGGCGCCTCGAAGGTTCTGGTGTGTGTCGTACAGGAAGAGCTGGTTGTTTAGCTCCTCTTGTCGCCTCCGTAGCTGGCGGCATGAGGAATAGAGTTCCTCTTCACTCTCCTGCAGTAGGAGAAAGAACAACTGCGTGGGTGCCATCCTCCAAGTTGCATGGGAAGCATTATGGACTCTCGTGTGTGTGCCCATAAAACAGAGGGTGGAGGTTGTGCAACTCGGACTGTCGCTAAAAACCCAGGGCCTAATTCAACAAAAGGTCACTCAATTATCTCTTAGACTGGAAGCTAGCAATGCGTAAAGCCCTTGGTCTTCAAAATGCTGCTTTATTATGAAACCCTGGAACACAAAGGCATTGCATGGCTTTCCTAATTGAATCGTGTTTTCACTCGGTCTGGTCACCTTCTGGCTTTTAGCAAGGGTATCTATGCAGCTATACATCTGGTAAAGAGAGGGTGGTATAACATGAGGGGAGGCAGCAGGAAGCAGTCACGTAATACCACACATACGAGGGCCTTAACAGGCAAAGCAGTGCTCTGGAGACGGCTCAGCCAGTAAAGCACTTGCCTTGCAAACAAGGGGACAATCCCCAGAACTCACGTGAAAAACGGTGTAATGGTTTGTGCTCATAGCCCCAGAGCTAGGAGGCAAACAAGTGGATCCCTAGGGCTTGCTGGCTGACCAGTCTCACCTAATTGGTGAATTCCATGCTAATGACAGACCATCACTCAAAAAGCAAGGTGGGGTCTGGAGAGATAGCCCATCGGTTAAGAACACTTGCTGTTCATGCAGAGGACCCAAGTTCAGCTCCCAGCAACTGAACTGGATAGCTCACAACCTCCTATAATGCCTGCTTCAGGGAATCTGACATCCTCTTCTGGTCTCCACACACACGCACACACACACACATATATACACACACATAATTAAAAATATGATCTTGGGGCTGGAGAGACAGCTCAGAGGTTAACAGCGCTGGCTATTCTTGCAGAAGACCCGGGTTCAAATCCCAGCACCCACATGGCAGCTAACCATCTATAACTCCAGTTCCAGGGGATCCGACGCCCTCTTCTGTCCTCCTCAGGCATTGCATGACACTGTTGCACTTGCATGCATGCATGCATGCAATACATGCATACACATTAAAATAAAAATAAGGCAAAAAAGCTTTTATTTAAACATTCTATATTTTAAAAAATACAATCTTTAGACAGATATAGACAGAGAGTAGACAGATAGATATAGACAGAGAGTAGACAGATAGATATAGAGAGAGAGTAGACAGATAGATATAGACAGAGAGTAGACAGATAGATATAGACAGAGAAACATGATACACAGATGATAGACACAGATGATAGGTAGATGGCAGATGATAGGTACGTAAGTAGATGGCTAATGGTAGGTAGATAGATGATTGATAGGTAAATGATTGATAGGTAGATGATTGACAAACGGATGATAGATAAGACAGACAGATATAGATGGTAGACAGGTAGATGACTGATGATTGACAGACGGGTGATAGATGGTAGACAGATGGTAGATGACAGACATATAGAAGGTAGACAGGTAGATGACTGATAGATGATTGAAGGATGATAAATTCATCATTCTTTTCCAAGTCTCTTCTTAGAAAACAGAGGGAACCTTAGGTGGTAAGTGTCTCCTGGCCTTTGACCAGGTCTTTAGGACACTTTGTTACTAATATCACGAGTGCCCCCTGTGCCCACTTTCTCTTCACTGTTCTGTGCTGGAATTTCAATTTGAACAGCTGAAGAGCCATGCAGACAGGTGTTCTCAGACACTCCACAGTCCCCAGAGTCTGCAGGGTAAACACACGTCATAGCCACAACCCCGTGATCACAACATAGAAACCGACAAGGTGCATTGCTGCAAGTACAGATACTGTTTGGTCGCACTGGCTTTTCCATAAATATCCTTCCTCTCTCCCAACATCCTTTCAAGGATCCCAGGCTGCATTCAGCTATCGCATGCATCTCCTTAGTCTCCTCTGATCTATGTCATTTCCTTGATCCTTGTTTACCTTTTATGACTTTGACACCTTGGCAAAATAGCACCCCATTATTTTCGAAAGGGTCCTGCAAATTCAGGTTTATCTGTTTTCTCATGGATTTCAGAGGTTATGTGGTCTAAGCAAGAATGACACAGAAGAAACGTGGCTATGTGGCTAGATTCATTAGTGGCAACCAGCGGTGAGCACTTCTTTCCAATGTGTTGTGAACTTCGAGGGTTAAACCATCCTTGCATTCCTGAAATGACCTCTAGCTGTGATCTGTTGAATTTCTGTGAATAGCCAGGAATGATTTTAGAAGTCTAACATCTGTATCCAGACATGACATTGATCCGCAGCTGTGTGGGGAGGATGAGCTGGTATGTGACGTTAACATGCCTTCCAACTCCTAATCTCAGTGTTAATCATTCACTTAAGATGATGTTGGCCACGTTTATTCACCATGAGGCTACTTTTCTTTTCTAATTCATAAATTCCTTGGAGGAATTGTGAATTATGCTATTGAGCTAATGCAAATACTCCATTTCTTTTCCAGCTCTCACTCACTAATTGTGTCACCCATTGCAGATCTTACTACAGCAGTTGGTACTGTGGGTGTGCTGCTCTAACAGGGACCTCCCACATTCATCAGCTGCACTCCTATAAGGAAGAGCCATCTCTTCCTTGCTCACTCATGCACAGCTGAATATCGTATTCCTTGGGTTAAATTCCAATGTGATCATTACTGTGGTCACTGGGAAGTCCTTCCAGCTGCCTAGGTTATTTGATGTGCCCCCACCCTTTATTCAGAATCCCCCTATTAGACTTCTACGACATTCCAGGTCTGCTTCATATTGAACCTATTTCAAACAGGGAATTGGCCACTTGTCTAAGCAGTCCTAGCTCCCTTTACTGGACAGCATTTGGAAAGCAGCACACTAGCACCGACTTGTCACTGAGTGGGGCATGCGCACAGCTAGGAATACCATCTTTCTGTCATTCTGATAAGGGTGCAGAGCTTCAAGACTCTTGAAGCATTTTCGTTTGCCTCCTGATTTCAATGGAATAAAATTGGAATTGCATTCCTTAAAAAAACAATTTTTAGGGCTGGAGAGATGGCGCAGCAGTTATGAACATTAGTTGTTCTTGCAGAAGACCTGGGTTCGAATCCCAACACCCACATGGCAGCTAACAACTGTCCGTAACTCCAGTTCCAGGGGATCCGACAGCCTCTTCTGTCCTCCGTGGGCATTGCACTACACGGGTGCACTTATTTACATGCAGGCAATACACACATACACATAAAATAAAAATAAATTTTTAAAAAGAATTTAAAAAAACAATTTTTAGATTAATTTTTATTCTATGTATATGACTGTTTTGCCTGCATGTATGTATATGTGCCATGTGTGTGCCTGGTGCCTGCAGAGGTCAGAAAGAGTGTGTTGGATCCCCTAGAACTAGAGTTAACAGATGATTATGAGCCACCATGTGGGTGCTGGGAACCAAACCCAGGTCCTCTGTAAGAGCAGCCAGTGCTCTCACCTGCAGAGCCACTGCTCCAGCCTGTGGAATTACTTTCTTGAAATACAAACGGGACAGCTCAAAATAAAATGTAGATTCAATATCTGCTTTACTTGGTGGGCATCTTATCAGCCTACAGTGACTCTGTCTCTGGCTTTCCACTGCCACTGCTGCTCAGAACAGTCGTGGCCCATTTAACATTTTAAGACAATCTCCCACTTATTTGGAGTTTCATTCAATTGGCTTCTGCCTCTATTTTCTTTCTTTCCTTGTTTTGGTGTTCTTTAAAGTTTTTATGGTGAATAGCACGAAGATTTTCTACTATTTGTTCTGTGCAGTTTTAAGATAAGCACTTCCCTCTCTTAAATACAGGAAACCCTAAGAGATCATGGGTAAAGACCACTGTAAAAAGAGTGACTCAGCTGGGCATGGTGGCGCACACCTCTAATCCCATCACTCAGGAGGCTGATGCCGGTGGATCTCTGTGAGAATTGAGACTAGCCTGGTCTCCCTAGTGAGTTCCAGACCAACTGAGGCTACAGGGACACCCCTGCTCCCAAAAAAGAGTGACTCACAGTTGAGTTCCACTTTCCGAGTGGGGTAACAGGAGTGTACTGTATTGTAGTCTACTGTGTGTATAGTAACATTATGTCCAAAAACAAATGGGTGTTGTTTAATTAGAAACTATTTAATTGAAAAAAGATGCTGACCACCTCCTAAGTCTTCAGCGAGTCTAGTCTTTCTGGTCCCAGGTCTTGTCATGGTGTTGCTGGCTGATGACTCCTGAGGGCGGTGGCTGATGGAGGTTTGGGTAGCTGGCAATTTCTTAGAAAGGAAAGTACAATGTCATGTGCTACACCCACTGACTCTTCATGAACAGAGGACCCTGCAGCACCGGTGCTGTCTACTGCCTTTCCATCCTCAGAACTCCCTTCCAAATTGGACTCTCCTGTCAACCCTGGTTTCTGTGTCATCCATGAAATTTCGGTAGCAATCTGAGTCCTTTGTTGTCATTTCACTAACACGCATGGCATCTTCGCCGGGGAGCCTCTTTCTTAGCTTTCTTAGTGGATCCACAAGCAACGCCTCCAACCAGCAGTTTGCTGAGGTCAGGTCTTTGGGCCCCACTTCCTCCAGTAGCTCTCTGGCTATTGCTCTGGACCTCTCAAAGCCACCCAAGGGGATTGGAATCTACTTCTTACAAGCTCACATTGCCATTCACTTCCTCCTATGATCACCAATGTTCTTAACGACTTCTAGAAAGGTGAGCCCTTTTCAGAAGGTTTTCCACCAAGCGAATGACTCTTTGAGGCAACCATAGCCTTAGGAAATGTGTTTCTTCAATAATAAGCCTTGGAAGTCAAAATGACTCCTTGATCCATGGCCTGCAGAAGCCGTGTTGTGTTCATGAGCTTGAAAACATCAATCTTGCTGTGCATCTCCACTGGGCCCTTAGGTGGCCAGTGTACTGTCAATGCACAGCAGTCCTTTGAAAGCCGACCTTTAGTTTTTTCCTGAGGTCTCAACAGGGAACTTAAATGTTTCAGTAAATCATGTCATAAATAGATGTGCTATCACTCGGGCTTCTTGTTCCATTTACAGATTA